GCATAGGTCTTAATACTTGAACATCAAGTGTATTCATGAACTGTGAGTATCTTCATGTAAACAGTTCTAGATGGAAGACCCAGGCGGCACTCCTCTGGGGGAGGGGTTCCAGCCCCCCACTCCCCTCAGCTCCATCCCCTCACAGTTCAGTCCTCCAGTCCACGGCAGGGGATAAGCTGGACAGAAGCTCCCAGGTGTTTTTTAATTTTTTTTCAAGTGTCAAAGATCCCAAACGATCCTCACACCCACCCTTCGTACTCTTACATTCATGCGTCTGTAAGATAGCTGCCTCAAACAGGTCAGTAGTGAAGCTCCCGTCCCCCAAAAACAAAAGCTACGAAACAAACGACAAACACACTTGGTCCTTTCAGACCCCGCGTTACAGACTATCTCCGAGACCTACCCCCCCCTCCCTCAGCACACACCCCCGGCAGAGGCCAGTGCAGACCGGCTGCCCTTCTGGCTCTGTCACACTACCGCTGTTGTAACTGTCAGTAATAATAATAATTAAAAAAAAAGGTACATGCTACATACACATCCAGCCGGAAGCCTGTGTGGCCCCTAAGCCTTTGTTTCCATGCTACAGTACTAAGGGGCATGCGCCCCAACAGGGAGCCACCTGCACACTACCTAGAGACCTTCCTTGACACTTCCTTCTCCCACCAGGCTCTGCGCCCCTCAGGTGGCTATGGTCAGTTTTCTAACACAGGCGTTATAGTCCTTCAGTCCTTGCCTGCTGGTCTCCACCACGAAAGTTTTCTGTCTCGAGGGGGGCAGTGTGCCCCCCCCCCCCAGGACGGAGTTCAACACTCTTCGATGAGCAGCTGTTCGGAGCTGTAGAGTTTCTTCTTGATGACTCTGAAGCCGGTGCTCAGCGTCAGGGACTGGCTGTAGCCAGGGACCAAGGAAGAGTTGGCCGAACTCAACAGGCCCTGGATCTTGGGCCAGAGGCGAGAGTCAAGGCGCAGCACCAGGGTCAACTGAAAGGTAGGCACCAGGCTGGGGTCGAGGGCCAGCTGAGCCACACTGTGGCAGCTCTTGCCTTGTTCCACACAGACGTCCAGCAGTGCCCCCCGCAGGCCGCACGGCTCGCTGTAAGCCAGGCGCAGGAGTTCCTTGCCCACCTGGCTCACCAGCTGGCTTGGCATCAGCAGGCGCGCAGGGCGCCGCGAGCCCAATCGTGCCTGGGACAGGCTCTCCTGCAGCAGCTGCATCAGGTTGGCACACAGATGCTCATCCTCGGGGTCGCTGAGTAGCTCAAAGTCGGGCAGCGACACCCCGTCCAGGTATGAGGAATCTGAAAGAGAGAACACAGGGAACGGTATTAGAGGGGCTTCCACAGGAACTGTACCGGCGGGGGAAGTGCAATTTTGCTAATAAAACAGCGTTCCTTCCCACTCCCTGCCTCAGTTTCTAAGACCCAGATTCGTGTCTTCTAACCCCGGAGTTATCTGATTCGCGTGGTGGGATGGAAAGCCAAGGTGACTGGCTTTGATCTGGTACAGCTCGGTTTGTTCCCACCTCCCGGGCCCCCTCGAGTCGAGTACCGCACCCGCTCACTGCTCACCTTCCTCCGGCCCGAAGCCACTGTTGCTGCTGTCCAGGGACTCACAGTCCGAGCTCTCCAGGCTCGCGCAGCGGTCAAGGCCCTCTTCTCGGGCCGCAGACCCCCAGGCGGAGCGCGGTGGCCGGTCAGTGGCTGGAGTTCCGGACGAAGACGAAGAGGAGGACGACGAGAAACGATCCCAAAGGCTAGGCATGGTGAGGTCAGACGCCAGGACGCTGGCTGCTGAGCTTTGGGTAAGGGAGCGCAGAAGACGCTGAAAGACAAGAGGGACAAGGATCTCGCGTCAGTGTCGGCGCTGCACAGGATTGAGGGCGCTGGGGCCCCAACAGCCGAGGTCACCCCCCGACGAGATGTGCACACCCGGGAGGGACACTCACCTGCTAGCGCGGTCAGCGAGGACTGTGGACAAGCGAGCCCTGTCTCTCGAAGGGTGAGCGAACTGATGCTAACCCCCGATCAGTGCCTGGGCCTGTCCCTTCGAAACCTCCCGCACCTCCCCCTGCCCGCTGCGATCCCTAGCACCAGCGAGCAGCAGCCTATAAGGCCTCTCGCGGAGAGGCCGCGCCCCCTTCAAATCGCAGCCCAATGGGGATCCGGGAGTGTGGCCCACTTCAGCCAATGGGCTCCTGGAGCACGTTCGCAACGTTCTCTCCTGCCTGGTGACAGCGGCCTGGCTCCGCCCCCACGAAGCCCCAGAACCCTGCTGGCCGAACCTCTCCGCCCTCCCCTAAGCCGCGGCCACACCCCCTTTCTGGAAGGGAATGGAAGCGGCTTTCGGCAGCTGCCAAGGTCCCTGAGGGCGCTCGCGGCAGGGGAGGATCAAGGAAAGACTTGTTTATTATAGGGTCGCGTTGCTGGGGGGGAGGGGACAGCCCGTGGCTACCCTGGGATGAAGTTAGGGGACCTGAAGCAGCGATGAGCCGGGGAGACAGGTACCCCCAGTATCTAGCTCTCCAGTACTGGGCACACAAGTGGATGCTCGTGGGACCGTGGGCGCGGCGGCAGACGTTATCCCGCTGTCCCGCGAGCATCAATCTCATGCTGTCTTTCCTGGCGACACGCGATGGACATTTGATGATAGGTCCAAAGACAAGGCAACTTGGTCTGGCAGCCTCCTCGAACCCCATCAGTCTTCCTGTTACTCTATAGCCCCGGGGGATGGGTTTATGAGGTCGCCAGTGCTCTCCCGTGCGACGTTGTCCACAAGCAGAGGGTTTGGAAGGGGTTAGAATTCACGGACTCAGATTCATAGCGCCTGATCCACGGCCAGAGAACAAGGACTCACATCAAGAAAACACACTGATCAACCCTTAGGGACAGGCCACTGCGGGGCCAATGCCTTCCTGCCTTCCTAGCCCGCTGCCGCAGAGCCCCTGGTGTCCGCCGGGTCCTAAAATCCCTCTTAGGCTTTGTGGGTTGTTTTTTGTTTTTTGTTTTGTTTTTTTTTTTTAAGACACTGAGAGTTCAATGGAACCCAGGGCCGAGATCTTTGGAAAAGCCCAAGTGCAATAGCCATCAGGGGTTTCGTCATTCAAGCGAGGCAACAGGAAATCTAGGCTGGCAGCGATGCTCGAGGGCTAATAGTGAGTGCTTAGGATGGGAGGAGATTCAGACGGACTCGACTTTTTTTTTTTTTTTCTAGCCTTATCAGTGTAGGACACCGGGACCCTGATGGAAGAAAAACCAAACTTACATCAGACACTCTCGCCCGGAGGGCAGGAACCAAACCAGATCAGACAGGCGAGTATCGAATCGCTACAGGGCAGGTTTGCTTGTTACACGTGACACTTGCCAGGGAAGTCTGGCCACTGTCCTTTCCAGCCCCACCTCCCACTTACCAATTTTATCTTTTTGGCAGTCACACGGTCTGGAACTCACTACCTAAACCAGATTGGCCTTGAACTCACAGAGATTTTTTTGCTTTTGACTCCCGGGTGCTGGGATTAAAGGCATGAAACATGCAACATAGCTCCTATCACCAATATTTTAAAAATTAAAATTAAGAGCCTGAGTTTTAGAACAGCCAGGTCATATAACTGCAAAAGGACCAGAATATAAGGTCTGCCACATCCACTCTCATTTTACAGGTGAGAGAACCCCTCAGAACACATTAATGGACAATTCCCCTAAGAGGGTGGGATGGGCTCAGATTAGGAGACACAGTCAAAGACAGCTGCAGAATAAAGTACTGTGTTTGCCTCTGAGACTCCCAGACCTAAGCGCAAGCTTTTTTTCCTGACATTTAGATCTGCCACTTGCTCGAGGACATTGGATGGGGTGGTGAGATGAAATGCTTCCGCGGGAGAAGGTGACATCATCTGGTAATGCCTTTCACGGAGGGAGAGAGAGCTGGGGCCTGTGAGTGAATCTTCCCGCTGCCAGGGAGAAAGGAGAAAGAAATCAATGGACCAGCAGGGCACCCATTCCTCCTACCTGGCTGAGCCCATTGGAGATAGGCTATGGACGCTTTTTTCTTCTTCACCATTTTTTTTTTTCTATGCTGGGGATGAACCCAGTGATTCAGGCATGCTAGGTACAACTCTGCCACCGGGCCACATCTCCATCCTCCCCTTTCCCCCTCCTCCCTCTTCTCTTCTTTTACTTTTTTTTTTTTGATTAAAAAAAAAGAAGTTTTTCACAAAAATATGACATATTGCCTCAAGAAAAACAGTTTTTCTTTAAAATGAATATTGATAAACAAAAGAATTCCTGTCCAGTTTGGAAAGGGGTTTATTTGAATTCACCCATTCATCCAACAGGTAACCATCATGGGCTATGTAAGCATTTTTGGGGTTTTTTCTTTCTTTCTTTCTTTCTTTTTTTTTTTTTTTTTTTTTTTTTGGTGTCTATGTTTTGAAACAGGGTCTCATGTATTCCAGGCTGGCTTAGAACTTGATATGACCTCTTGAATTTCCCCAAGTGCTGGGATTACAGGCATGCATCATGAAGACTGGTTTGTGCTACAGAGGCGATCAGATGGAACCCAGTATTCTGTCCATACTAGGCAAGCGCTCTGACCAAGCCACATTCCAGCCTCAGTCTTGCTGTGAATAAAACACTGTCCCTCGAGCGGGAGAGGGTTGCCTTCACCAGCACTGGGTAATTCCGTGGGGTTTGTTACTGTTGCTTTGGTTTTCCAGGGGCTGGGATATTGGTCGAAAAGGTGGCGGCCCCACACATGTGAAGCTCTGGGTTGCATCCTCACAAGGACAAAACCTACACAAATCAAGTGTGTGGTGCACCTTGGGAGGTGGAAGTAGGAAGATCAGAAGTTCAGGTTCATGCATACTAGGCTACACAGAGAATTCACGACCTTCTCTCTCTTTTTTTTTCTTTTTTGGTTTTTTGAAATTGGGTTTCTTTGTGTAGCCTTGGCTGTCCTAGAACTACCTCGGTAAACTGGGCTGATCTTGAACTCACAGAGACCCACCTGCCTCTGCCTCCCCACATGCTGAGATTAAAGGTGTGCAAGGTGTGCACCACCTTCACCACACAAGACCTTGCCTTAAAAAAAAAAAAAAGGAATTTGGCCTGGAGTGATAACTGGATAACTCAGCTGTGAGGAGTACTTAACTGGCTTACAGAGGACCCCAGTTCTGTCCCCAGCTCCCATATTGGGCAATCTACAACTACCCAGAACTCCAGCTCCAAGGTAATCTGATAATTTATACACATATTTTAAAATAATAAAAGTACATTTTAATTTTTTCCAAAAATGCATGTCTTTTTCCAGGTCAGAGGACAACTCAGGAGAACCGGTTCTCTTCTTCCTCCACTCCATGTGTTCCAGAGACTGGACCCCAGTTCACAGGCCTGGCAGCAAGCATTTTTGCCCCTGGAGCCATCTCAACGGCCCCAAGAAATCGTCTTGGTTTTTGTTGGGGATTTTATTCAGCATTTGATTTTATTTTACACCATGGGTTGAACCCAGGGTTTCTCACACCTTAGGTGTGTGCTCTTACATTGAACCATAATACCAATCAGAAGGCTTGTTTTTTTAAAAGTGATGAAAAAAAAAAGGATTAAGAACCTAGCCGTGAAGATGTTTTTTAGACTATTTTCAGACTAGGAGAGGGTGGATAAAGAGATTCCCCTACAAGGAGGCCTGACAGAGGCCTGTAGTGGACAACTGCTTGATATGTCAGGGAACAAGATCCATTACTACCTGTTCAGAGAATGTTTGAATCTAGAATGGGGCTTTTCTGACCATTGGCCCCTCTGGGGAACTGGGGTGACTTCTCCCCAGTTCTATATGCTAGCTTCTGAATCAGGACCCATCCAGAGGCCATAACTTTGCAATTACTATTCCCCTCCCCTTGTCCCCTGGCTGTGGAGAGTTGGGCTTGCCTGGGCATGCTTCCCCCGGCACCCCCAGCCCAACCCTTAGGTTTCTTCTTCCCTTTTGTCTTCCCAACTAAAAGCTGGAGGGCAGTGTTCTGCCCATCTTAATACCCGTTAGCCAGCACTATGCTAGGCCCACAGGAGAATTCCAGGGCGTCCCCCCGACTGAATGAATGTTTGGATGGATCCGTGGACAGTTAAATGAAATGAAAAGACAGCATTCCCAGAATTACACGGATGTATAATGGAGATCCCAGGATCGGGCTGGGTGTGCAGAGGGGCTCTTCAGAAGACTTCCATGTCACCTTTCCAGCCCCTTTGCAACTCAAGCTGGGCACAGGCAGAATAGTCCTCTTCCTCAGGTGGGGGATGGGAGCCCCACTCAAGGACAGCCTGGGTCTTCCACCAGGAGTGCAGCATCCCTAGGCAATGGGCAACCAATCACCCAAAGGCATAGAGCCGATCTAGGAACTCTTGAAAAGCAGAGTTTTTCCTTTAAGTACCTCAAAATACTTGACAAGATTTTTATTTATTTCTTTACGTCGGAGCTGGGAATGGATCCCATGGCCTCACATAGGCTAGGCAGGCGCTCTTACCACTAACAGACACCTCCAAAGGAAAGCATGTTTTAAAAGTCGAGGTGAGAGTCTTATCTAAAGTGAATCGCTTCAAGCTGAACAAATAGCACATTCAAAATGTTGTGCAACTACCTCCTCCACTGGTTTCCAAACATCTCTATGGCTCCAAAGGAGACAGGTACCAATCCATCACTATCTCTAAAACACCTACGAAGCTTAAGATCCCTGTCAGGTGTGGGCCGTCAGCGGGACCTCTTTGTTCAGCTATAGAAATGTCATTCCCATCAGAGTCTCATTTGCATGTGTCATCAAGGAGTCCTGCTCCGGGGAGACAATTCTCATGTGCACACAGCGCACAACAACACAACACGCACCCTGCTCTGCGGAGATGGCCTTAGTGGAGAGGTGGCTGGAAGTGGGTTAGCTTCACATCTTGGGTGACTTGCACCTCTGGAGTTGGCAATCGGGCCCCACACCCCAGTCTCTGTGGCCAGAGCCATGACCATGTAGAATAGATGCCTCACCATTGGTTGCGCTCTGTTCCCGTGGGACCCACCAGAGCCTGCAATTTAAAGTCCGTGAGCACTCACTCCTGGCCACCTGCCCCTCCCTCGGCAGGCGGTGCCTGTCCCAAGCACCAGTTCCCAGGGCCTCAGTCTGGCAAGTCGCCCCAGTCGGGTTTGGGAAGTTAAACCAGATCTTGGGGTGGTGGTGTGAGTCTGGGAACCCCACAATTCAAGATGAAAATCCCTGAAGACCAGCAGGGTTGTCTCTACTCTTGAGCTGGCAGTGGCTTCCTCAGCTCACTGGAAACTTCAGGGATATACTAAGTGGAGGTAGCCAGAGAACAGAAAGCCTCCCGGTGGTGGGGGGAGAGGGTGGAGTGGTAACTGGTGGAGACAATAAGCCTGCAACTGTGTTCCCAAAGACTTCTCTGGCTCGTTTACTTAAAACAACAACAAACAGCTTGGTCAGAATAGCAAGATTGTAGATGCACCTGGCCCACTGGAGGGTTGTGAAAAGCTGTTGACAGCTCACAACACAAGACTTCAAGCAGGATTTTGATTGTTCTAAGGGAGTGTTAAAAACCCAGCGGGAGGCTTTTTGCAAATGAAGCTGCTTTTTGAAATGGAAATACTGACAATACAATATAGTACAGCTATTGAAAACAGCTTTTAAAATCTTATCTAGAAAGTACACTCCAAGGAAAAGGCACAGCGCCCCTCTACACCCCAGCCCAGAGAGCCCATTAATCCTTCCATCCCCAAGGGGCTTTTGAGTCTGATTAACTCTTAGGGGCTGAGGGTGCTGCTCAGAAATACAGCATGTGTTTAGCATGCACACAGTTCTGGGCTCAATCCCAGCATCACACACAAAAACAACGAAAGGGATTTGGCGTGGGTGGGGGGCTTACAACGTATAGTATAGATAGGCACTCCTCCCTCCAAACTCTGTTTAGATGGGGTGGGGTCCATTGGGGTCCTTCTGTACAAGTGATTCCAGGCAGTTTTGTGCTCTTCCCTACATATCTGCTGACCTCTGGGGAAGAAGGGCAGGGAGGGCCTGGGATGGAGGCTAGGCTGGCTTCTCAGCCAAGCCAAGCCTCTCTGTGGGGGCAGGGTGCTCTGCCAGGGATGGGTGAGGGCATACAGCTGCAAAGACAAGGCCTACATGTGACAACAGTGAGCTCACAGATGGCCAGTTCTGCCAGGGTCCTGAGTTTCACAAGATGTCATTTCCTCTGGAGACAGGGCAGAGGCGATGGGGACCCCACAAAGGGCTGGCTTCATAAACCGGTCCTGTTGAGGGCCAGAGAGATCTTGAGAGTTGGGAGGGTGGGTTCAGGATTCTGCCAGACTATTCCAACAGAAGCAAAGACCCGGACAGCCGCGGTGCGGCCCACCCATCTTTTCATTTCCTGCCAAGCTGGAGCAGAGGATCTTAGGGACTCAGCTAGCCTCGGAACTCCAGGACAGCATCTCTTTTCTCCTTCACCTGCCCATCCCAGTGACTCTCATTATCCAACCTTCTACCAGCTTTGTAGGACCCTTCTCCCATCCTGGGTCTGAACTCTTACGAAGAAAGAAAATTATAGAGCTGGGGAGGGCTAGGCAGTCCCTTCCCTAGTAAGCCCCTAAAGACTGGGCTAAATACTCTCCATTTCCTGCAGCCAGTGGAGGTTGTGGGGTACTGGACCAGGAGTGCGGCCACCCTTCAAGGCTGTTTGACTGCTAAGGATGATGGGAGTTATTCTGGGTATACCCCTGGTACAGATCCCAGGAGGCGTAATATGACTTTGTTATAAATGTTACAACATCGCATTCTGTTACGTTGTTGATCTATATTAATATAAGTGATAAACTTTACTGACTACATTATTTAAGTTGTGTGTGAGTGTGTGTGTGTGTGTGTGTGTGTGTTAGCATCTAGAGATCACAGGACAGCTTTCTGGAGTTGGTTCTTTTTTTTTAAAAAAAACAACTTTATTTAACTTTATTTCATGTGCATTGGCATAATGATGTCAAATTCTCTTGAACTGGAGCTACAAACAGCTGCGAGCTGCCATATGGTTGCTCGGAATTGAACCCGGGTCCTTTGGAGGAGCAGTCAGTGAGTGCTCTTAACCACTGAGCCATCTCACCAGTCCCTGGAGTTGGTTCTTTCTATCATGTGGGCCCCTAGACTCAAACTCAGGTCAGCAGGCTTGGTGGTGAGGACCTTTACCTGCTAAGCCATCTCGCTAGCCCATTTTTTATTTGTTTTGTTTTTTTTTGCTTTTTTTTCTCCTGTAGCTCAGGCTAGCCTTGAACTCACAGCAGGGAGTAGGGCAGGGCAGGGCGGATTGCAACCGCCCAGACAGCAGAGAAAGCTCTTTTATTTTTATTTTTTTATTTTTGCTTTTTAAAAAGATTAATATTATTTATTTTAAAAATCATGTGTGTTACAGGGAGGTGATGGCACAAGCCTTTAATTCCAGTACTCTGAGGCAGACAAATCTCTGGGTTCCAGGCCAGCCTGGTCTACAGAGTGAGTTTCAGGACAGCTAGGACTACACAGAGAAACCCTGTCTGTGGGAGGGCAGGGGTAGGGAATCGTGTGTATGTGTATCTGCATACATGTGCATGCAGATAACTGAGAAGTCTGGAAGTCAAAATGGGTGTTGGATTCCCCAAAATGTGAGCGGGCCCCTCATGGGTGCAGGAACTGGACTCAAGTCCCAAGAGGAAGGGCAAGTGTTCCTACCTGCCGGTCCGATCCATCTCTCCAGCACCTCCTTTTTTATTTTTGAGACAGATTTTTACTATTATTAGATACTTAGCTGGTCTGGAATTTGCTATACAGATCAGGCTGGCCTCAAATTCTAGATAATCCTCCTGCCTCTGCTTCCCAAGGGCTGAGTTACAGGGTGTGCCAACCAGGCCAAGCTCAAAAGTCTGTCTTTATCTCCAGTGACTTTAGCAGCCAACAGTGGGTGTTTATTTATCTGTAATTAAAATAATTAATATGTGGCTCGGAAGATGGCTTGGTCAAGAGGGTTCTCAGCCCACAGGCAAGACAACCTTGGTTCAACCTCCAGACCTGCATAAAAAGCCAGCACAGTGGCTTGGGTTTGTAATCCCAGCGCTGGGGTCGAGGCAGGTAGAACCCTAGGGCTCTGACCAGCGAGTCTAGACTAATTGACAAGTTCCAGATTAGTGATAATCCCCTTCCCAAGAAGACAAGGTGAACCCATTCTGAGAAATGACACTAGAGGTTGAACACACACACACACACACACACACAGAGCCAGTGTTTGTGCATCATATGTAAGTAGGGTTTGGGTTTATCATTGTCACTTTACAGGTGAGAACACGAGAGCTCAGCTAGGTGGAGTGATTTGCCTAAGGTTGCACAGTCAACAGACTGGCCATAATTCTAGACACGTCCTGTCCTGGATGCTGGGCCCCAAATACTCCTGCTTATGAACCAAAAGGGAATGAGAAGACTGGGAGGGGTCATCGCTGGGGCCCAGAAGAGCTGGAGGGAGCACTTGTCAT